TTGGAAAGATACCCAGCAGAGGGATGGCTGGGTCAAATGGAACCTCCAGTCCAAGCTCTTTGAGGTATCTCCATATTGATTTCCATAGTGGTTGCACCAGTCTGCACTCCCACCAACAATGGAGAAGGGTTCCTTTCTCTCCACAACCCCGCCAACATTTGTTGTTGTGTGATTTCTTGATAGCAGCCATTCTTTGTGGGGTGAGGTGGAATCTCAGTGTTGTTTTCATCTGCATCTCTCAAATGATCAGTGATGTGGAACATTTTCTCATATATTTACTTGCTGCCTTTACTTCTTTGTCCCTCAGGCATTTCTTAATCCTGTAAAATTAGTAAGTCAGGATTAATGGCCATAATTCACTCTTGGTCAGTGTCATACCCAAACACATCTCCTTAAGACAATGAATAGAAAGTTTATAATTCAGTCTAATATAATACAGATGTCTTGAATGCAACTATGAATGCAATAATTCCTCCCCCAAAGTATCATCAGTTCCAGCATTTTTAGACATTTCATGTCTAAGCTTCTTCTGATACTCAAGGCAAACTCTTACCTGAAAACCTATGTAAAAATAAAGAATAAGTTGCATAACCCCACGGTACTGTGGCACAGATTAACATTCCCATTCTAAAAAGGAGGAATAAGGGGATAGAGAAGATTTGGACTAAAGTAAGACTGAAACTCCATGCTATATGTCTGGTTTCAGAGCACATGGTGGTGAGATGTAAGTTCCATAGGCCTGGTTAGCCCTATCCATATGGACTTCTTCTTGTAGCCCACTCTTGGACCATCTTCACTCTTGAGTTTCAGGTTTCTTTGGTAGACATTCTACCATCTCTAGCCTTCTGAAGTCTTTACTACCTTTACCTACATTTCTACAGGTTCATGCACTGCCATCTCAGGGGCTCCTTGCCTGGCCTCATAGGCCTTCCTTTAAAATAAAGTTGCCCTGACCTCCCAACTCTTGCAGTCTGCATGCCAGTAAAACTAGCATCATGTGGACAGTGCGGAAGTCTGCTGTCAGTGAAAGCAGTACTCAGGCCCTTTGTATCATGGCTTCAGTGGTTTCTGTGCACCTGGATGTCTGGGCAGAGTAAAATAAATCCTAGGCAAACAGTTCCATAGAAAGTCCTTCTTAAGTAGGGCTTTGGGGACACTCTCTGAAATGAAAGGTTAGCACTTTAGTTAGACCCTTGAGTCTGCAATGGGTGGGATCTTACTGATTTCTGAAATTCCCTCAAGGTATTTTTCTTCTATCCCTGTAAAACTACTTGTTTCTTTTTAATTGTGTTAATCTTTTAGCAACCACACCTCCTTTGGTCCCAGCATAGTTCTTTGTAGGTCAGATTTAAAAATTAAAAACTTTTTTCTGTTCTGCCTTTTGACCTTGATTCTCACTATAAACCTGGATAAAAGCTGCCAGCAGTACTCAATGCATGGCCTGAATATTAGACCATCTTGAAATTTCCTCTGCCAGATTAATTAATGTGCCACCCCCAGTCTCAGTCTCCTGAAAAGTCTCAGTACATAGCCAAAGGGTAGACAAGTTTGCTGCCAGTGTAACACGTGTAACCTCTACTCCACATGCCAAAAGAGTCCTTGTTTCCAACTGAAACCTCCTGAGCCTGGCTTTTTCTATCTGCATTCCTATCAGCATGCCACTCTTCTAAGCTTAGACCAGATCACCGCTGCCCATCAGGTTCTTCTAACAGCGCTCTGTGGCTTCTCTAGCCTGAGTGTCCAAATCTTTCTAAATTCCTCCCTCCACCCAGTTTCAAAGGCTTCCAAACCACATGGTCAGGTATAGTCACAGCGTTAAACCCACTTCTGTGGTATCAGTTTTCTGTGTTAGCTTTCTCATCACTGAAACAATATTCAACAGACATAGTTTAAAAGAGGAGAGGTTTAATTTGGCTTATGATTTTGAGGAATTCAGTCTGTAGTCTGCTAGTTTCAAAGCAGATGCATCATAGCCTTCTTGGTTTCTACGGTGCTCTAACCTTGAAAGTGTGTTACCAGTGAAGAATTCCTACCTCAATGATGCAGAATTGAGGTTTACTGGATACATTTTTTTCTTCAAACTCAATAAGGAAATCCCTCTTTCCTCTAGATAATTGCACTAAATTGTTAAATGTGCATGAAATGTGAAGTTATAGTTTAGGGTGTTTTCACCAACCCTGATACCCTTTCAAAAAAATTAAACCTTGATGGTCTTTGAGCCATTAGGATACACTGTGCATAGCTCAAGGTATCAGCAGGTTGCCTCTAAGTACATGAAAAGATTTGTTTTTAAAACATATTCTTTATCAAATGAGAAACATGGGTTAGCATTTAGAAGTTAGCTGCCAAGAAACCCAACTAGTAATTTAAAAGTAGTAGCTTAGGCATAGGGATTTTTTGTAAACCATCATTTCATTATTGGCTATTTGATTTTTTTCCCCAGAGAAGGAAAGCACAGACTGGCTCTCCAGATCCATAAGAAATCCTAGAAGATCTCTGTATACCTATAAAGGTAGCAGTTACAGTTTTCCCTTGAACCTCAGTCCTGTCAGGGTCAATAGAAACAATTGTCAAGGCATTTTGAGAAAAAACTTGTTTAGTTTTCTTAGAACCATGGGCAAAAAGGATAAAAAATTCAGTATGAGTTGTTTCTTCTCAATCCTGAGAATCAAGATTAGGCTAATTGATTTTTGATGGCTAAAAGTGAGATATATTCTTCATGTTTTCCAATCCTTTCCAGCCAACTATAAGGACAGGTGTTTTGGCCTTTGAGGTGAAGAGAATTTGTATGAAGATGGAGGCCATGACTTATAAACTGTAGTGGGGGTGGGGATGATTATGGCCTTCTCCTGTCTTCAGGATCAGGATGGAGCTTGGAAAAATGAAGACATTCTGTGGTGGGCAGCTAAAAGGAAGCTGGATTTTCACTGGGATTTTAGTTTAGTCAACATAAAGAGATAGAAGAACTATTTCATAAAGAGGTCAGAGATGTCAGAGTTGATTATTTACATTTGAACTGAGACAATATGATGACGGAGTCACCAGGGACCAAGAACCCTTAATGGGGATGAGCATGGCAGCGCCGCAGGTCCTGGGAGGGGCGGTGGGGAAGGCGTGATGCACCTCACGCCACCAGCAGAAGCTTCACACCAGCCTCTAAAACCAAAGCGAAGTTACCAGAAACACAGTACGATGGTCTTTGTCAATGAAACTTGGCCCAAATAGTGCCAAATATTTCCTTCAGTTCACAGCAGGCAGCATCTTCTTTATAACTGATCACTACTAGTACTCCTTTCATTGGAAACATTGAAAATTAGTAGAAGAAAGAAGAATGCATCACTCCAAATATAGAGAACATCCTTTTTTGTGTAATACCAAGAGATTGACAACATATGCCTGATCATCAAAGTATGGGATTGGAAATGAGTTACTTTATACATAAGAGCAGATCTTGTTTTAATTTAATTCGCTTATAGCTATGATGTTATTTCTGAGAGCATTTTATACTTCTGCATCTTTGGAACATCTCTGTGATAAACATCTCCAGAAAAACTAAATGAAAATATAATATTCTTAAACAGATAAAGAAGTTTAATGAGACACCAAACCAAAATTGTCCCACATAAAAGATAGACAAACATAACTGAAATGACATGGTGTACCATTCACGTTTAAAGAGGTTTTTTTTTACTTCATTCCCTTCCAATTGTTTACACTCAAAAGTGGTTTTCTTTCTAGTTCTCAAGAACCTTTAAGCTGATAGAGGAAACAACTAACAAGCGAACCAACAAGCAGAATAGTTGTAATAGTGAACACAAAATCCTTTAAAATGTGAGCATATTCCTCGGTGTCCTTGTCCAGACATCATTTATCCTTCAGGAATTGAAGTTTTTTTGATGCAGCTGACCATTAAATCAGTTAGGGACAAGGCAAAACAGCAGCATTTTCCTGTAAATGTAGCCTTGCCAATGTATGCCAGAAAAAGAAATAAAGGCTTTTTAAAAGCATTACCTGATAAATTACCAAATAAATCTTTAATTTAGATGGAAAATGTGTGAACATCTGTCTCCCTGTAGATCTGGAAATGAAACATTGGTGTCTGTGAAATCCAAACAATGCATTTATGGCTAGTTCTTCATTATTGACTTTTTGTTGTTTTGTTTTTTGTTTTTTGAGACAGGGTCTCACTATGTAGTTGAGACTGACCTGGAACTCACTATGTAGCCCAGGCTGGTCTCAAACTCACAGTGATCCTCCTGCCTCAGCCTCCCTAGTGCTGGGATTACAGGTGTGAGCCACCATGCCCGGCCCATTATTGACATTTTAAAAGCCAATTCTAATCTTCTAGCTGATAAGCCTTAAGGAAGTATCAAGGTAAAAAGCTTTTGTAGCATAGGGAAATTCAAGCTGGTGGCTGGACCCTTTTGAAAGACACTTGAATTATAACCCCTGGTTGCAAAGGACGGAAAACCAATTTAGACTACCTTGGGCAAAAATGGTATTTGTTCCATGGATACTGAAGCTACTTATAATTAAGAGAAGAGTTAAAAATTGGCTGAAAGGTAAGAGTTGAACATAGTCGGGGCCCTTCCCTTCTGTATATTTCTCTTCTCTGTTTCTCTTAACCAGCAAGTTTCATTTTCTTCTTCCTCAACATGTCATGCAGACATTCCTGTGCCTCAGATTTTGAGATCTTATACCATCAAGGGATGCTTTTTTTTCTGATTTAAATCTGAGAAATACTTAGGAAGAACTTGTGTTTCTTTAGCTGAATCAGAGTCTAACCCAGGCCCAGACGTCAGTAGTCAATAGGATGGACGATGTAAGATCCTGATGTGCCCAGAGAGCAGCAATTGATTGGAACGGAGGAAGGCCTTTCTGTACGGGAAAGTAAAGGGCAGATGTGTTCATAATGCCCACCAGAACTGTGTCTTCATTATCTCAGCCTGTGCTTTGACTTGAACAGTTGTAATAAATTTGCATTCCAGATGTAAGAGAAGAAAATCACGTCATAGGCAATACGCCCTCCTTTTGGCATCTACAGTAGTACTGATTTGCGCTACTTTTAACTTCATTGTGTACTTTCGGGTGAGTTATTTTAAATGTTATATCCTTTATTGCAGTGCACATCTGTGTTATTTTGCTGTCCTAGCATCTTCTTTTCTCCTAGCATTCTTCTTTGGTGACCACACTTAGATTTCCGTTGGGAACCTCCCCCTTTCAAATCACGAGACTTCAGTGGAGTTGACTCCAACGTTCCAGTGACAGAGGCACTAGCCAATTGGAACGCCATATTCACACAGCAAGTTGTGGCTCCATGGATGTACTCTCTTCCTCTGTTGGGGCATTTTCTGGAACAGCTCAGAAACAGGCTGGGAATGATTTTTAAGTTGCTGCTGGCCACAGTTTGGGAGGACTTGAGTAAAAGGCAAAATAGCAAAGCAGAGCTAAGATTGGAAATTCCTGAAAACAAAGTTAAAAGTCTGGCCATGTCTGAACTGAGCAGGTAAAGAGACAGCGTTATCCTTCCCCTTCATTCCTAGTCCCAGCTTTAGGTACAGCCTGTTTTATTTGGTTTTCTGAACTTCATAACCAATGTGTCCTAGAAAATGAATTTAACTTCATGAGTTGAATTAAAGTTCATTGTTTGCTCTTTGGCTCTACTGTTTTATGTTCCAGGAATGCTGTTTAACCATAAAAATCACCACAAAGTACCAAAAAAGTTAGTGGCTAGAGGCAGTAATGATCATTTTATTATTATTCATGGTCTCTGTGAGTTAAGAATGTAAAAAGGACTTAGACAGACTGTTCTGGGAATTCTGTTTAGTTGCAGTCAGACTGTGGCTGAGCTGGAATGTGGAGAGGGAAGGTAACTGGAACACCTGGGGGCTAGCTGGGCATCTCGTATCGTGAAATTTCAGTAGTTCTCACAGACTATGTGGGCTTCCTTATACCGTGGCAGCCCTGGGGGGTTGGGCATGGAGATTGTGTGGCATCTCCAGATCTCATCATGAATGTTCCACAGCACTGGTATGAGTTTCATCACCTTCCATGACCTAGCCTTGGAAGTTGCACAGTGACATTATCACTGCACTGTAGTCAGCAGATTAACAAGGTTGACCCAGATTCAAGGGCAGAGCTTATAGACTCCATCTCTCAATGGATACACATCAAAGAGTTTTCAAGCATCTTTTAAAAGCACCATATTTTGTGAGCAATTTCTTAATTGCAAGAAACATACTGATGATCAGAATGATATACTTAAGTAGACAGTTTTATGAAAGACACACCTTCAGTTTATACTTTTAGGAGCTGAATTAACTCTTTCAGGTCATTAAATCACCACTAAACTGTCTATATATAGTCATAATTAAGCCAGAATTTGATTTTCCCCTCATAATAATTATCTCAATTTGAATAACATTTAAACATATTTAGATTTGCATTAGTTCTCTACTTCACAATTGCTTGTATATTGAGTTAACTCTGAGGCTTTATATTTTAGTATATGGTTTGTAAGTCAGTATAGCTTCTAGAAATGCTTATTTCTCCTATTGACTAGTTTAAGGGGTGAGAGTATCTGGTTTTATGGACTCAACATGAAATAGCAATTGGAGTATAGATTTGTAAAACTTGATCTGGGTTATGGTTCTGTCACTTTGCCTCTATGATTACTGTAGAAATCTTCCTTTATATTATCTAATATCTTTTGTGGAGTAAAAATTCAAAATGAAACTCTTCTTAGCTTTCTCTCAGGTGGATGAAGTCCAATAGATTGCAAACTATTTTTTTTTTCTATTTTGGAATATAGCAAGTAATCCATTGGAATAAAACCAGCAGTTGAGTAACTCATGCAAAGGTAATTTACAGCACAAATTAAATCTGTCAGAGTGGTATTAGATTTGCAAAAGCTCATAAATAACAAATGAAAGGTCACAGAGCTGTGAAAATGAGAATGTACTTCTTCATAAAGATAATCGTATTCAGGGATGGAATTCACAGTACATATTCAAAAAACAGCATCATAAAATGGAAATGCAACATCTTTTCTAAATGTCTAGAACAGTCTAGAGGCACAGTGGACTCCAAATAAAATCATCAGAGTCCCAGAAAAGGCTCTTTGTATTATCTGAGCATGTCCAGCATCATATTTATGAAGTTTGGGGATTAAAGCTCCATGTGCTACTGAGAATCTGTAGAGAAAAATACACCCTCCACCGCAGAACCTGTATCACCATTTAGCCATTGTAGGGCTGGGGATTTAGCTCAGCAGTTCGTTGGCCTGCCTTGCAAGCGCAAGGACCCGAGTTCAATCCCCTGTACCAAAAAAAAACCAACATCATTTAGCCATTGTGAATGCATGCCACTCATCTTTCATTTTTCAGTTCCTGGAAAATACTAATAAAGTGAGTAGTGCTTCATGATTGAGTGCAGGAATGTAAGCATTGGAGATATTAATAAATAGACCCACCCATCCTGTTTTTCTCATGGAAAAGAAAGGTGGGAAATATAGCTATGGCCACTGCAGAGTAGACATGTTCCTTTATTGTATGCAGGGCTTTCTTTTTAGTGTTATGTTGAGCTTGACTTTTATAGGGAACAAAATCCATATTAAAACTAATGTGTAAGCCAGCTGTGGTGGAACACCCTTGTAATTCCATCTACTCAGGAGGTTGAGGCAGGAGGATCACAAGTTTGAGCCTAGCCTCAAAACAAAACAATAAAAAGAAAAAAAGGTCTGGGAATGTAGCTCAGTGCTCCTGTGTTCAATCTCCAATCCCTCAGGATAAAAGTGTAGACTTTATCAAAATTGTATCTCTTCTGTATGAAAGGACATCATCAGGAAAGTTAAGAGAGGGCCTGGGATTTAGCTCAGTGGTTCCGGTGCCTGTTTTGTAAGCGCAGGGACCTGAGTTAGATCCCTGGTACCAAAAACAACAACAACAACAACAACAACAAAACAAAACAACCAAACAAAAAAAGAAAGTTAACAGATGACACAGAGAATGGGAGAAAATATTTGCAAATCATATATTGTATCTGAAAATATTTAAGACCCAGAATATAGAAAAGAACTCTTACAACCAATAGTAAAATGACAATAGCTAAATTTAAAAATGGTCTAAAATTTGAATAGAATACTCCAAAGAAGATGTACAAATATCAAACAAGCATATAAAAGATGTTCAGTCTCGTGAGTCTCTTGACAATTGCAACTCAAAACTACAGTGATAAACACTTCACATTTTACTAGGTTGGCTATAACTTTTTTAAAAAGGAAGGAAAAATAAGTGTTAGTGAGGATGTGGAGAAATTGGAATACTTGTGTTTTGCTGAAGGGAATGTAGAATGGTGCTCCTGCATTTAAACACTAGCAGTTCCTTAAAAAGTCAAAGAGTAACTTTAAGACCAGGCAGTCCCACACATAGGACATGTACGTTGGACAGGATACACTGAGAATGGATGTGCTTCTGACTTCCATCACACCTTGTGCGTAAGTAAAGCCTTGTTAAAGCAGACATAGAAGGATCATGGGTTTGAACAGAGGCCTTAAGATGGTCATAATGAACCTTTTAAAGACTGCCAAAATGCAACCTAAAACCCATTTATTTATCACAAAGTGCCAACACTGCAATTAAACCTGAATGCTGAAGTTTCAGTTTGGAAAAAACAATTCATATATCAACATCTTTTATCTTAAAAGGAAAACACAATAACACGAATACCATAGGTTTTCCACCACTGCCTTGGAGGGCAGCCTGGGGCAATATATGGAGGGTTCTACATGCAGCTCATGGTAATGGTTGGCAGAAAATCACCTGGGCCTGCATGAAACTCAGCCGCATTAAATGCTCGTTGGCATTAAATGCTCGTCTCCTACTCTTCCCTGCTGGCTTTGTCCCTCCCTTGGTGACCTTGGGCAAATGCTGGGATGAAGAGACACACAAATCCTGATTTTTCGTACAGTACTTAATATTTTTGAAGGATTATTGTATTTTTCTAAGGTAAGAAAAGTGAGTTGTTTATTGAACAAAGTTAATTTTACTTTCACTTAGAAAACTACACTGGCTGATTTTGGACAAAATAATAATAGTAAAATATTAGCACCTGCTGTGTGACAGACACTGTCAGTGTTCTGCACTATTCAGCTTATTTAATCCTCACAGTAAACTTCTGAGGTAGGTAGTATCCTCATTTTGTAGTTAAGGAAACTAACTTAAGACTACACAGCAAGTAGGGCCTAGAGGGGTTGGTGCTAGGTTGCGAACCCAGGCAGTCTTAACTGTTAATGTCCGTACGTTCCATACTCAACACAGGCTCAGGCTGGGCGGACATGCTGCAGAGGTTGCAAGGAGGTTAAATTTAGGTGACATCCAGATGCATAATCATTGGTGGATGTGCTGTACAGAGAGACCTTTAAATCAATAATTGGAAGGAATATTGTGGGTGAGAAATGCTTTAATAAAAACATGTCACTTGCAGTGCTTGATATATAGGAAGCACTGATGTTAGCTTCCAGTTGCACATTAAAGAAAAGAACAAGTTGACATTTAATGTGAAATTATATAAATATAAAACCAGATAGCTTTCCTCACTATCTACTGCATAAAAGAAATCAGTGCAAAGCATTCATCCATGTAACTGTGTTTAGCTACAGATGCTAAAAATCCTGACTTCAAATCCCCAATCAGGACAGTTTTGTGACTGGGAGCAGGTTATTCCTCTTTTCTGAGCTCACCTTCCTCATCTGTAAAGCAGGACTAGTATTACATAGTGTGCATCTATATTACACACACCAAATATAGACGTGAAAAAATTTAGTGGCCTAAGACACCATAAATGTATTATCTTTTAGTTCTGGAGATGAGAAACCTAAAATCAGTCTTACTGGGCTAAGTTAAGGCTGGTTCTTTCTGGGGCTTCCAGAGAGGGTCTAGTTCCTTGCCCGTTTCAGTTTCTGGAACTTGCTGTATTCCTCAGCTTGTGGCCCCACCACTCTTGTCACATCTCCTTTCTGCTGACTCTGACCTTCCTGTCTCCCTCTCACAGGAAATTTTGATATGATGTTGAGCTCATGCAGGTTATAACCTGATTCCTATCTCTGGACCCTTGACTTGATGAGTACCGTGCTTTCTTGCTGTTCTGCACTTGGACCTTTGCAAACACTGATTAGAGGATAAATAAGTGGAATTGAAAGGGATAAAATAAAAATGGGAAGTACTCCATAAGATTACAGTGGAATACTAAGTTAAAAATTAAAGTGATACTGCATAGTATTATAAGTCCTTTTTACAACACCAAAAAGTAATCATACGTAATCCTCATCCATCTAAATTTAAATTCCTACCATGAGTTTATATTTGTATTTACTGTGCTATGAAGATAAATTTCTATATTCTTGATACTACAATTTTTAAAATATCACCCAAGATTCTTCCAACCCCTGTCAGGTCATAAAATAGATACAGTTATAACATACATGGCTTTAAATTAAATTTTATTTGGTAGCAGGGATCTGGATTTTATTTTTCATTTTAGGAAATGAGATGATATTTTTATCACTCATCTCTTAGGGGAAAACACTGGATTAGCTGGTAAAGGCAGTAAGCAGAAGGTTGGGGGCCATCCCTGAGGTATTAGAAGAGTTTGAGGCAAATGCCACCTGACTGCAGAGTGGCCATCGGGTTCTCTCTGTGCCAGATTCTTAGGGGAGTAAAGATATATGTATGGCATGTTCCTAGTATGAGGAACACACAGTATTACAACATAGGAAGAAGTTTACACTCCCCTCATTTATACCGTTTTAAAATATCAACAGTATCTCTGTGACATGTCAAGTGTCATGTGAAATGTTGTTTGAAAAGACCTCTCAGCTGTGAGATGCAGTGTGTTCCCTCCAGATTCCTGTGTTGAAGCCCTAACCCCAAGTACCTCAGAATGTGACTGTATATGGAGACAGGGCCTGTACGAAGGTAATTAAGATTAAATAAAATCTCCAAAGTGGGGCCCTACTTCAATAAGACTGTTATAAGAGAAAGGTCATGAGAGCACATGGCGAGCCAAGCACATGCTGCAAGCCAAGGAGAGAGCGCTCAGGAGAGACTAACCCTGCTGACACCTTGACTACCACCCTTCAGAACTGTGACAGATTTCTGTTGTTTAAGCTACTAGCTCGTTGTGCTCTATTATGGCAGCCTTGGCAAAGTCATGCACTTTACCTGTCTTATTTGTATTTTGGATTTTGCTTTCTGATTTTTTTGTCTATGTAACATTTGTTCGCAAGTTTACAGTTGCAAACATAATGTTGATGGCATTTCAATCTCTGACTCATACTGAGCTCTCCTGCAGGATGGAAGGAGATGGGGTGTTGGCTATGGTGCAGTCAGGTTACACTCTGTGCATCAGGTGTAGCCTCACAGTACCTACCCCAGCACAAAGGCAGAGGAAATCCAGAATGGATGCAAAGTGAGGCATTGATGGATTCATTTAAGAAAAGCCAGGGGAATACCACTGATATTTGCTCCTCTATTTTCTGATCATCTTGTTCAACCAAGTACCTACTACTGTTCCTGGCAGTTACATTTACTGAGGGACCCAGCAGCCCACCGTCTTCCTGAATACAAGTTTTCTCAGGAACCAAATTGTACTCAAAAGCTAGTCAGGTGAGCATGAAATTGGCAGGGTTGGCATCATGTGAGTGTTACAGGATGATAAAAGCTTAATTCTATTTTCTAACATTTTGCAAATTTTTAAGTAATGAACATATTAATACATTTTGGTGTATTGTTTGGTTTCAGTTCATCTTCTTCATAATTTTAATCAAGTTATTGTAATACTGTTCATTTAATATTGCCTTGATCTAGGATTTTGAAAAATTACTTATCCTATACAAAGACTTGGGCCTATTTCTGGGCTCCCATGAATGTTCTATTTTCTAAACTCTTTGTCATAGCTTTTATCATTCTGTATTGATTAATATTGCTATGTAGTACATGCTAAGATTTGATAAGGATATATTGATTTTCTTCATTAAATTTCTGATTCATAAGGTATTTAGTCATTGTCTGTTTTACAAACTAAATTTTTAATGCTATTTTAAAAAAATCTCATTGGACATTTGTGTTAAATCTGTAAACAAAATATCAAGATTAATTTATTTTTGAGCTGGGTTAAGGTAAAAGGAATAATCTAGCCTTGACCTTTTGCATGAACAAGAGTGATGGTGGTGCTTGGAAAAATAGCAGAATGTGAGGAGCAGGAGCTATAGGAAACTTGCAGGATGTTGAGCAAGTAGCACACACGGATGAAGCATGTGTACATTCCGAGTAAAGCTAGACAATTTAAATTGGTTACATTTTTTTTACTGTCCTCAATTTTGAGTGGAAAGGCAATCAGAATAAAGGACAGAGTAGATGATTGCTTAGTGCTAAGGAATAACTTAATCTTACCTCAGCAGATTTGCTTACAAACTCTGAATCAGTCATAGAAAGAATATAACATTACCCAGTATTTAAAAAAATATTGACATAAAAGCCACATTGCCTGATTTGGAGTTGGCTCCTCTACTTATTTGTTGGGCCTCAGTCTAGTCAAAGTGGGACAGTCATAGTGCCTGTCTCGTGGTGCTCTTGGGAGAATAAATTAATATTTACAGAGAACCTCAATAGTGTCTGGCCAATAAACATAGTTTATATTAGGGAGATTTGTGCTCTTGAGATACTTTTTGGTTTGAAAGAGGTCACTTGCCTATATTTCTCTTCTTTTCCAAATTTGAATGTCTACCCTGCGCAGCTCTGCACTGATGATAAGACACTGTAAGGCTGAACTCTTGTGCCTGGCCCACACTATTATCACGGAAATACTTCTGAGCTTTTGTGCTTGACTTATTTATTGTTCCTCTCTGGCAGCCATCCCGTTCTCTTGGCAGAAGTAGCTAGATTTCATTAAAATTCAATCTCTCTTGATACCATCTCTAGAGGATGTTGGAAGGGGTTGGTACCAGTGGAGCTTTAGCAATCTGATGAAGAGTAGATTTGGACTGGGATGTTCTAAGTGCTCCAAAATTACCATTTATAGAGTTTCCCCCAGGGCTCCCCACTTCCTTTACCCTAGCTCCCTATTGCTCCCCTGCCCATCTCACCCGCAGGAGCTCAGCCAAGCCTCCTGTGGCTTTCTCCAGCTGGACACTGAGATGAGTCTGTCTTCATATTTCAGGTGCAAGTTCTCTGCCATCGTCTTGAGTCCCCACTCTGGGGCCCTCTGCATGAGTGACACATCAGTCTGCCATGGAACCTGGCCCTGCACTGGCCTGGCTTCTGCTCCTGAGCCTGCTGGCTGATTGTTTGAAAGCTGCTCAGTCCCGAGACTTCACGGTGAAAGACATTATCTATCTCCACCCTTCAAGTAAGACTCTGTTCTTGATGCTTCAGAAATGTCACTTTATTTCAAATAAGAAGTGGGTTGAAAAGTAGCTAGGATAAAGCAGGCTTTCATGTAAAGGAAATATCTGGTAGTGTATTTAGGGGATGCCATATTTGACAAAAACAATGCTTTATGTTTTACTCTTGCTTTTTCACAAAGCATTTGCTTTTTAAGTCCCATACCCAATCACTCTGATTCTAAATATCTCTCCCTTTTACTGTCCCTTACTGAGTTATCAGAGTATACTTCTGTGTCCCGGGAGGAGGATTGTTTGTAAAAGATCAGCCCTTTATAGGTAAGATAATAGCTGGTCTTCCTCTCTGTGCATCCAGTTCTCAGTTTGGGCAACACTGCCTTCCACAACATCCTATTCCCTGTGCTTTTTGGTTTTCTATGTTTAATAATTCTCTAGGGAGTTTATCATGGTGCAGATGCCCAGATATTGGCCCTTGAGTTTCTGATTTGCATATATGGGATTGTACTTGTGGATTTATGCTTTTAGTGAGACTTTCAGGTCTTTCTGCTGAGGCTCATATTGGGCAAACCTAGCAGTTTGACTTCTCCTTTGGTCTCTATCTCTCCCCTATCGCCCCTTTTTTTGACTCCTCTTCTGTATTATCCCTATGGTGGTAAGAGTTCTGGTATATTGTGTATGTTCTGGCCTTTAGCTTTTATCCCAAGGCACATTATTTTTTAAAATATTCTGCTCAACAGATATTGTTCACATATCTACCATTTGTCAAGCATTTTGTTAGGCATGAAAGGTATACAGACAAATAAGACACCTGTCTTACTTTTCAGGATTGTACAGTCTACAAAGTAGAGTCCTTCACTCAGACTCCTTCAGTCCTATGGGGCTAGAATATTCAATGTCTGTATGTTCTTTTCACTGAGAAGCAGTATGCGAAATTCACAGGGTCTTGGAGGCTACCTAACCCTGAGCTGCTTCCTAGCCTTCTGATTTTAAATAGATTCTCTAACTTTATGAAGATCGAGTAACGTGTTGATACAAAGCGCTTAGCATTGCATATGAGCTGTAGTGAATATTCAATCAATGTTAGGAAAATTTTTAAGTGCTTATTTCTTCATTTCTAAAGTAGTAAAATGATTCATATCTTCTTAAATTATCTTATGGACTAGAAATAGCAGCATAAAACACCAGGCCCATACCAAGTACACAATTGAATGGTAGTTTATGTTGCTATCATTGACTTAGACAGGGAAGTAAAGGTGGTGAAACTACACCGCACTTAATTTTGTAGAACTCCAAATATATGTTCTCTAGTCAGCAAGTAATTTATCTAGATTTTGCCACTGTATCCTCTCACCAGAGTAGTCTTGTGCTCATTGGTTAGTGGAAAACTTACCTGGATGCTTATTTTTATGAGATTTTTTTGTCTTAATAATGAACATTAATAATAAGAAGAAAAGATACTTGCTATGTTTCCTAGATTGCATTTTGTTCTTTCCTCTGAACAGACATGCTTTTTGTTAGACTTGGTAGGCAAAAACCTAGATTTCAGTCTCTTAGGGTTGGATGCCAGGGTTTTTTTGGTCTTCTGTAAGATTCTTGTCAGCTTTGGTGACAGATTCAGTAGTAACTGGCCTGCAGAGCTGGTCTGTGACCTCTTCTAAGGCTATGATTATACACAGAGAGTAGGGAGGAAAATTGAGGTGAACAGGTTTACGTGAACAAGAACAAAACACACTACTTCTACCTCAGTGGGTGGCAGGTCAGTGTCTGGGTTGAGTGGGCTCGTGTTTGGAAAGTTGATTGTAGCATGGAGTTTTTGAAGGATGAACTCTATCAGGCTACAGGGAGAATCAGTTCTCTTTAAAAGGTGGTAGAAAAGTTCTGTTCATATGACGTGTACTCATTAAGCAGAGCCATGGACTAGTTAGAAGGAGCTCACACTTGTGAAGAATTGGTAGGGCTTTCTGATATGATCCGGAAATATGGAGAAGGATAGAAGTTATTCCTAAACTAGATTATAAGTAGATAATTCACCAGCAAGGTTGGGCCCAAGTTTTTTTTTTAGAGGGTCTCCGTAATGGATCATGGGTAATACAAATTCTTGTTGAAGTGAAGTTATATTGAATGGCTTCGTCTTGCCAGAACTTTGTTTTTCTTCCCACTTCAAGTCAGATAACTTCACATTTCTCCTATCTCAGAAGTTTGTGTTTTTGTTTGTTTTGTTTTTTCACTTTTGAGGTTTTAAATTGCCCTGGTCCTCTGCCCTTTAGCACCAGGCCATGTTTAGGTGGAGTGATCTTTCTACCAATAAGCAGTTTCCTGCTGAACATAAGCTATAAAAAATATATAAGGGAAGCTTAGGATTAGTATGATTTTGAATTATTTATATAATCACCTCACTTTGTAAATGGAGGCCAACAGCCATCTTTGGATCAGTGAATGGGCCAGATTCCATTAATGTTGCATGGAAAAGCTCAGTAACTACCCTAGGAGAAACATGGTGATACATGACGAGTTTTCTCTGCCAGATATAAACTCATTTCTTATTGGCTCAGAATAGCCTTTATCAATAAAGGCTGGGTGAGATTGGAACTCAAACTGAGAAAATTTGGCCCCATGACTATTTTCTTTTGTTTCTGATACTGTAATCTTTGAAGTTCCTCAGCCTTAAAAAAAAAAAAAAAAAAAAAAAAAAAAAAAAAAAAAAAAAAAAAGTGACTTCAATACCTAAGTCTTACTACTGGATCATCAAGACAAAAAAATCATCATCATCAACAACCATAAAAAAAAAAAAAAAAAAAAAAAAAAAAAAAAAAAAAAGCTTTATAGCTTTCAAATTTGGGGCACTGCCCTAAAAAAAAAATCTGTTCTATATTTTCTATGTGCCTTTCTCCCCTTATTTTAATGAGAAAAATAGTGATTTTCCCCTAGCTTATTGTTAAAACATTAAAATCTAAAAAAAACCTTCAAAATAAGATCAATATTGAAGAGAAATGGAGCTACTTGTTTGGTTGTCAGACATCAGTCAAGACAACAAAATTTAAAGTACTATGTGGCTGCAGTCTAGTCTTGGTCTCCATTTCTTCCCATAGAATGGAAGCCTTATCTAAAAAATTTTCCTCTGGATACATATTTTGAGCCTTTCCTGAGTCATATGCACCAAAGGACTGTGTTCTTGCAGAAGGTTTTATTAATGCCCAGGTAGGAGCCAACATGTTTACTAATAACCCTATGGTACTATATTATGTAACTCTTAGAGAGTCATAAGACTTTCTAAAGAGTACCAGGAAACCCATTTCTATCACAAATGTGTTCATACTTAAATCACACTGACAATATTTTGTTGCCAAGTGGACTGAAAAGAAAGATACATTTATTAGATTTCTAGAATTTTTATATTTGAATGTTGTTTCCCCAAACAATGGAAATTAATATGGCAAGAATAGAAAAAAGGTTGGATGCATTACACATCAGTATGCATTTTAAAGCGTCTGTTCTCACCACCTTTTTGGTAACTAAAGGCCTTTGTGCAGGCAAAAGTTCCAAGAGATGGAAACAAAAACTAAATCTTTTCCAGTACCTTATGAGTGAATTATACTAGGTTGAACTATGGCTGACCATGTGGGTTAATGCACATATTATTTTACAGGAAGTAACTGGGCACTTTGGCATTTCTTTTCTCTTTACAATCACTTTCTCTTGAGGAACCCAGACTTATGCCCTGAAATACACAGTACTAAGCTTATTAACCCTGTGATCAAGAGCCAAATTAGATTCATTCACGGCTGGGGCCACAACCGTCTGAAACTCCGCTTGCTCTGTAATGCTTTGAAGTAACAAAGAAGAAAATAGCACATCTCTTAGGAATCTCTTTCTATCCTTAAAAAAGAAAAAGAAAAACCTCTTTATCAGATGCAGTATCAGTTAGCAAGTTACTGGAGATAGTTGTTCATCTGTTGACCTTCTTTTGCCTAAATATTTCCAGAGGGAAGAATTTAACTGTTTACTTGATTTGTACTATAATTAGCCACTAAAAGATGAGTATGTTTGCACAGATTTGTCACTAATCAGTGATTATTCACTGATCAGCACTACCTGCCAAGATGTCAATAAAAGTTCCTAGAAGAAAATATTAAGCTGTAGTCATGGAGAATGTACACAGATAGGAAGTTGTAGATTTTAACCAAAAATGAGATCCTTTGGTTAACTGCCAGTGGTACATGCTGATAAGCTCATTCAGAGATAAATGATTTGAAACAAAGCCTCATTTTGTGGCCATAGTATTTTACTTCATACTCCTGTTTAGATTTCAGTATCCTTGGGGTTAATTTCAGAGTCCAGGACTAATGTAAGAAATGATAGTATTTAATTTAATATGTCACTATTTTGTAAAAGGTCATCTTGAAAAGTCTAATAAATAATCCAAATTTGGGAACAGTACAACTTATTCGTGTTAGGTCCTCAATAACTTTGTTCTCAGAAGAGTAGTTGGATCGTCAATCTTCATTCAAAGTTCTTAATTTATCTCTTGGATGGGAGAGTTTCCAGGAATAACTAATCCAGCATCCTAGCCAAAAATTTTTGTGGCAGCAGTGACAGATAAAATTGGAAGCTCTAGTGAATTAATCATGCAAACTGAAGTGGTATGAATAGCTTGCAGTCATAAACCTTGGTGGATATGATGATCATATTTTTTTGAGAAAAGCTGTTCAGTGTCACATCCTTTATGTCTAAAACTTTGATCATTCACTTCAGATTTTAGAAAGTATTTTAAAGTTTTATCTTTCAAAGTTATTAACTATTTTTAAATTAATAGTGAAACTATTTTAATGTATCCAGTCAGGACAATTTTTCAAAATATTTCATATGATTTTTCTCATAATGCTATATAAATAATTTAATTAAAATATCTATAAGAATTCTGAATGACTTTGGTATTTAAGGAAGGTTTGTTTTAAATTCTTCAGGCATGTCCCCACCTAAATAGTATGTTTCAGTTCAAATGTTTTCTAAGTGGTGGAATGTAGGTACACAAATTACTTATATGTAATTTCACAAAATACTGTTTCTGGTTATGAGAATTTTGTGATAGGACAGCATTATTTCCACAGTAAAATTCATGGGAATTAAGTGACTGTCTCTTGGTCACTTTCCATTATTTTGTAAGATGATCCATGCTTTTGCTATCATTCTGTTTATAAATTTGAGTCACCAACTACTTGAAGGAACATAGAACTCTCAGAAGGCCTCATAAAAAGGGGCAGTTGCTTGTCTGCTTTAGTGTTAAGACTCTTGACTGTGTAGGGTGTTGGATATTGTTACAGCTCTGTGAAATATTTTAGGCAAGTACATGGATGGGCAACTCTTCTAGGCAAGGTGAAAATCAAAGTTATATCTGGCCCATAATTCTGGCCTTAAGTTGCTGCCTCCTCCTTCATTATTTTTGATAACATACTTAATTGGTTCCATGTGGGCAAAGCAATTTACCCTGAGATGATTATTTCTCTCCATGGGATTCTCACGCTCAGCCATCTTCGAGAGAAAGCAGTTGGCTCCTGCAGATGAAGGGTTTGAGTGTCTGCAGCTTTCAAATAGGCCAGGAATTTTTAAAATGAAAAAATAAATTCACAAGTTTTTTTATCATGAAAGGCAGAACTCTAAATAACAAAGCCAGCAAATAATAATAGCCACGAGGCAATTAAAAGCACACTGTTAAAAAGGACAGAGGACATCCTGGCCTGACATTCCTTGTTGACCCTGATCCTTGTGCTGATAGAAGGTCAGGTGTGCTGAGCACTCTATAACATGACTTGTGTGTTCCACTTCCACCTGAGCTTGCAGGTCCACCGAGGAATACAAGTACCCACAAGACAGTCCCTAATGAAGGCAAGAAGAGGCAGCTCCGGGGAGGGGAGGGAATGGAGTCAATGTGAAGGTTTGCAATTGTGTACCTCACAGACCTCTTCCTCCAGGACTGCCCACCATGCTGCCACCTAACTCCTAGCAACCGCTCACTCGTACTCCATTTCTAACATTTTGTCCTTTCAAAAACTTTACCTAAATGGAAACATACAGTGTATAGTTTTTTGGACTAGCTTTTTCTGACTAGCAATAATTCCCTGGAAATATATCCAAGTTGTTGAATATGTTTATAGTTCATTTGTTTTTATTGCTCCCTAGTATAATATGGATGTACCACAGTTTGCCTAGCCATTCTTCATTTAAAGATATCTGGGTGTCTCCAGTTTTGGTCATTACATGTTGAATATCCTTTATCCAAAATGCTCAGGACCAGGAGTATTTCAAATTTTGGATATTTGGGCGGGGATTTGGGAATATTTGCACACACCTCATGAGCTATCTTAAGGAAGAGATCCAAGAATAACATGGTATTCATTAATGTTTCATATATGCCTTTTGTATAGACCAAAGGTAATTTTTAGAATATTTTTAGTGCTCCTGCATGTTGATTAAGACCCATCATGAGGTCAGGTGTGGACTTTGGGGGTTGTCATGTTGGTGTTCAAGAAGTTTCAGCTCTTGCAGAATTTTACATTTCACATTTTCAGATTAGAGATAAAGTTGCTGTGGATATTTGTATTCAAAACTTTTTGTGTGAATATAAATGTTCATTTTTCAGGTATAAATTTCTCAGTGAAATTGCTGGGTCATATGAAAGTTGAATGTTTGGCTTTTTAAGATACTTGAGAATTATCTTGCAAATCCTTAAAAAAAATGAGTATTCCTTCACAGGATTATGTGCCTAATCTAAAAACCTATCTTTTCTCTCAATTTTTGTAGCCACCCCATATCCTGGTGGATTTAAATGTTTCACCTGTGAAAAGGCAGCAGACAATTATGAATGCAACCGATGGGCTCCTGACATCTTCTGTCCTCGAGGTAAACTCTCAATAGACAGATTGGGGTCTTGGAGCTATTTATGAGCTAATAGCCCCATATACCATAGTGTATGCTTGCAATCTTAACTGTTCCTGTGTAAGGCTATTAGAAATTTTTTTTTGCTGCACCAGTAACATCCTCAAAGACCGACAGATATATAAAAGGATCCATAGGATTTCCCCTTTTCTCATGAGGCATCTTTGAAGAGCCACAGGAGGTAAGTGAGACTTTTCCACCCTGGGGCCAGCCAAATGCAGAAGAGAACAGCCAGCCTGTTCACCACTCTTTGAAGCATCAGTCATTGCATAGTAACTTCTTTCATGTAAAGTATGAATTGATGCTCATATAAAGATTCCATTTATTACACATCTTGCCAGAGACTTCTATCCCAACAGTGCATAAAAGTTTAGAATTCTAAATGGCATTATTGCACAAATAAAAGTCCTGAGCTTCTTAAACTGCTAAGGTCTCTTTGAAGGATGAGATGGTCCCCAGTTGAAGCTTGAAATTTTGGCTGAAAGACTCATTTTAAAATGAAGACTCATCATTTTCACATTTCTTTTATCCTAAGAAGTAAAAATGATTTTTATATTTGACAGTGGAGTCATTATTTATTGGCTGTTTTATTTTGGAGGAAAGTGCATTGATTTGGTAATGGAATGATGAAGATAGAACATTTTTATTGACAGATGTTTGAGTGAGTACTTAATGTACTTAAGTATTGATCTCAGTTGTTAAAATGACTGTACACATCAAGTCATTGTTTTTTAATATAATGGAAGAGCTCGCATGAGTGGTATTCTGCTTCTCATGGTGGATTAGAAATTGGGAGAATATGGAAGATATTAAAAGACAGACATCAGCTACCCAAGCTAGAACTGTTTAACCAGTAGTCTCCACCTCAACTGCCCAGTAGAAAACACCTGTGGAATCTTTCAAAATCACAGACCTGTGCCTCACCTATAGGAGTGGCTCTTAAATGTTGACTTGGCCATCACTCCATGGAGGGCTTTTTAAACACAAATAGCTGCTACTATCCCCTCCCTCCTACCCCACCTAAGAGTCTGATTCATTAGGCCTGAGATAGGCTGAGAGTTTCCATTTCTAGAGTCTCCAGGTGAATAAAATGCTGCCGGACTAGAAAGCATGTGTTAAAAACCAGAGCTCTTTGGGGCCAGGGATTTGGCTCAGTGCCTCACCTACTTCACAAGCACAAGGTCCTGAGTTCAATCCCCTGTACCAAAAAAGAAAACAAACAAACAGAAAGAAAAATCCCAGCTCTACACAAATTGAAGCAATATCTCTGGGTTAGGGTTGTACATTTTTGGGTATTTTAAAATATCTCTGGTGATCTAATGAATAGCCAAGGGCAAGAACCACCAAAGGCTTCTCTATCCTTTAGTAAGGAATGTGTTGTCATTTCTAGATTTTTTTTCTTTACTTTTGAGGTAAATATGTAAATGGAGGTTCCAAAAGATTATAAGAGAAAACCAGGAGACTTTAAAGACTCTTAATCACAAGTTAGATACTCAGTCACTGGAGAATCAATGATAATTCCTGTCCCTTTTGCCTTCTGTAGTCACTGCTTATTTCTGGATGAGCCAGTGTTTTCTGACAGCTCTCTATGTTTGTGTAAGTTGCTAATGACCTGACTGAACTGGGAATAAGAAATTTTAAAACCTCCCTTGGTAACTCTAATAGAAGCAAAATGTGATGATTTTAAACAATGACTGAGCAAAAACAGGATGATCTGTGTGGGTTTCCACTAATTTTTGGGCTGGTTCCTGCTGGGTCAAAGCTTGCCAATTAGCTTCTAAAACTGCTGCCACTGGTCAGAGCTGTATACAGGAATTGTAACCTTACTCCACTTGTACTGTTATAACATAGGATCAGAGAATCAGTCATTTATAAACAATAGAAATTTATTTCTCAAAGTGCTGGAGGCTGGGAAAGCCAAGATCAAGTTGCCAGCAGCAGGTCTGGTGAGGGCCCAGGCTTCGTGTTTCTAAGATGGTGCCCTTCTCTCTGGAGGAGAACTATATCCTCAGAATAAAAGGCAGAAGGAATAGAAGGAGCAGACCTACTCCCTTAAGTCCCTTGATAAGGGTTCTAATCCCACCTATGATGGTCATGCTCTCATGATTTTAACTATCTTGTAAAGATCCCACCTTTTGATATCACATTTTGATGATTAAATTTCAACATAAGAATTTTGGAGGACACATTGAGCCAATAGCAAAGTGTGATGGTATTTCTCTTAGACTTAGTTAACTCTGAGATACCTTAGTAGAGATTATGCAGAGGAAAAGGAGGGAATGTGAATTGGTGCTCTCTACAGACTTTTTTTTTTTTTTTTTTGTT